CCCTGACAGCCTAAGTTTAGCCTTGTTTTAACCCAGCTGTCTACATTTAGATGTCTAATAGACATCTATTAAACACAAAACTGTTTGTTGCGCGGCGGCCTCTGGTGTATTCGCGAAAACAAAAACTGCAAAAAAATGTACCTTCTGAGATGTATTTCGCACCGTACAAAATGTATACAGGGGTAAGTATCAATAATGAGCCTGGCTTGCAAAAAACCTTAGAAATTGTGTTGTTTTAACTCATTTTACGTAATTTTTTTTGAGCGAACTATTTGTTTACTATGATCACTTGGAAGAGGAAAAACACTTCACATTCGAGGTATCAGTTTATGTAGAAGCACAAACAACGTGTCTCAAATCACACTCTAAAGAAACAATTGTTTTGGCATCTGCGTAGCTTATTAGCGATTTCATGTTCTGTTGGCAAACACTTGTGAACATGGATATGGCACAACTTTTGAAACTTAATCTGCTTTTTTCTTCGCCACATGTGGTTTTCACATTAGCATACAGCGGTTTTTGCTCTTTCCTGAATTTGATTACTCGCCTCAGTGTCCTTGACCGACAGGTAGGCGTCTATATCCTTGCATTTCCTGATCTATTTCCTGTGCTCTGGATCCCATTTCCTGCCTGGTGTATCTTCAGTGCTGAAGAGAGAAGACATAAATACGTACACACAGTAATTTAAACACACACACAGAGCCAGCGCAATCAGCCCTGACTCTCCTTTCAGTTGGATTTATGAGCTAATCAATGCTCAAGCGGCCGTAGCACATGACTGCAGGAGTGTGTGTTTTCTCAGCGCATCGGCTGTGGAAACTGCATGCTCTTTAGGAGAGATGCTTAAGTGATGCACGTGCTTTTAATAAGAGAGCTATTGCAGGTGCACGAGGACCGTTATTAAACGCATTCCTGTGAACTCAAGTGTGTGTGGCAGCTCATATAGTCAGACATCTGCTTTCAATATCTCACACACTGATGCTATTAGATGTTTCATGACAAAGCGTGCCTATATGGAGTCAGACATTTGTGTGTGGGTCATGACCAAGATGGCGAGGGAGAAGCTCTTTTCCAAACCCTAGTAAAGCCACCTTGCTATCTGCAATCTTTGAAGTCAGAAAGAACTGGAAGTTGCTGAGTTTTTAATTTCAGTATGTTGATGTACTTCCAAGTGAAATGGAATATTGAGGAGGGGGCGGGGCAATTTTTGGCACATCATTGCCTCAGGGCAAACTAATGGTAAGAGGGGTGTGGTTAATAATATTGTGGCTGAAGCCGTTAAATTGACGCCAACATAGAAGCACTACTATCGGTCAATCCAAAGGTGGAAGCAAAAATGGTCAGATTTTGATTGAAGATTACCAAAACAAACTTTTTAAAACTTGTTAAGCCTAATTGATTGTTCAATCAAAGAGTAACAATGTGGCCTAGCTATACAAGCACTGTAAATTTGGATTTCTAACGTTTTAAAGGGTAAATTAAGCCAAAAATGAATGATTGGCCATGGTCTTTGGTGATGCATAAAACACAAGTCAGTGACGGTCAACACTTTAGTGTTCAAGAGAGCACTCAGTGATTCTATTAGATATTTCATGACAAAGCTTCCCTATATGGAGTCAGACATTTGTGTGTGGGTCATGACCAAGATGGCGAGGGAGAAGCTCTTTTCCAAACCCTAGTAAAGCCACCTTGCTATCTGCTGTCTTTGAAGTCAGAAAGAACTGGAAGTTGCAGAGTTTTTAATTTCAGTATGTTGATGTACTTCCAAGTGAAATGGAATATTGAGGAGGGGGCGGGGCAATTTTTGGCACATCATTGCCTCAGGGCAAACTAATGGTAAGAGGGGTGTGGTTAATAATATTGTGGCTGAAGCCGTTAGATTGACGCCAACATAGAAGCACTACTATCGGTCAATCCAAAGGTGGAAGCAAAAATGGTCCGATTTTGATTGAAGATAACCAAAACAAACTTTTTTGAACTTGTTAAGCCTAATTGATTGTTCAACCAAAGAGTAACAATGTGGTCTAGCTAAATAAGCACTGTAAATTTGGATTTCTCACTTTTTAAAGGGTTAATTAAGCCAAAAATGAATGATTGGCCATGGTCTTTGGTGATGCATAAAACGCAAGTCAGTGACGGTCAACACTTTAGTGTTCAAGAGAGCACTCAGTGATTCTATTAGATGTTTCATGACAAAGCTTGCCTATATGGAGTCAGACATTTGTGTGTGGGTCATGACCAAGATGGCGAGGGAGAAGCTCTTTTCCAAACCCTAGTAAAGCCACCTTGCTATCTGCAGTCTTTGAAGTCAGACAGAACCGGAAGTTTCTAATTTCAGTAGTTCAGGAGTTTTTAATTTCAGTATGTTGATGTACTTTCAAGTGAAATGGAATATTGAGGGGGGGGGGGGGGGGTGGCTATTTGTTGCACATCATTCCCTCAATGCAAACTAATGGTAAGAGGGGTGTGGTTAATAATATTGTGGCTGAAGCAGTCAAATTGACGCCAACATAGAAGCACTACCATCAGTCAATCCAAAGGTGGAAGCAAAAATGGTCAGATTTTGATTGAAGATTAAGCTTTTTTGAACTTGTTAAGCCAAATAATTGTTCAGCTAAAGAGTAACAATGTGGACTACCTAAATAAACACTGCCATATCACCCTGCAGCCCAAGACCGGTTACTCACTGAAGCTAAGCAGGGCTGAGCCTGGTTAGTACCTGGATGGGAGACCACTAGGGAACACTAGGTTGCTGTTGGAAGTGGTGTTAGTGAGGCCAGCAGGGGGCGCTCAACCCGTGGTCTGTGTGAGTCCTAATGCCCCAGTAAAAGTGAAGGGGACACTATACTGTCAGTGGGCGCCGTCTTTCGGATGAGACGTTAAACCGAGGTCCTGACTCTCTGCGGTCATTAAAAATCCCATGGCACTTCTCGTGAAAGAGCAGGGGTGTAACCCCGGTGTCCTGGCCAAAGTCCCTCTATCGGCCCTTACGATCATGGTCTCCCAATCATCCCCTTCCATCGAATTGGCTCGATCACTGTCTCTCCACTCTACCTATAGCTGGTGTGTGGTGAGCGCACTGGCGCCGTTGTCCTGTGGCTGCCGTCGCATCATCCAAGTGGATGCTGCACACTGGTGGTAGTGTGGAGAGACCCCCCTCATGATTGTGAAGCGCTTTGGGTGTATGGCCATACACAATAAATGCGCTATATAAATACACATTACATTACTGTAAATGTGGATTTCTCACTGTTTTAAGGGTAAATTAAGCCAAACATGAATGTTTGGTAGTGGTCTTTGGTGATGCATAAAATGGCTGTCAACACTTTGGTGTTTAACAGAACACACACTGATGCTATTAGATGTTTCATGATAAAGCTTGCCTATATGAAGTCAGACATTTGTGTGTGGGTCATGACCAACATGGCTTGGGGGAAGCCCTTTTCCAAATCCTAGTAAAGCCACCTTGCTGTCTGCTGTCTTTGAAGTCAGCGTGAACCAGAAGTTGCTGAGACCTTTATTTCAGTACATTGATGTACTTTTCAGTGAAATGGAATGTTGAATAGGGGCGGGGCTTTCTTCTTGCACAATCATTCCATCATAGCAAACTAACAGTAAGAAGGGCGTGATTAAGAATATTGTGGCTGAGGCCATCAAACTGATGTAAACAAAGAAGCAAGTCAATCCAAACGTGGAAGCAAAGTGGGCAGATTCTGATTGAAGATTACCAAAACAAACTTTTTTTTTTTTTAACTTATCAAGCCTAATGAATTGTTCGAATAAAGTGTAACAATATGCAATATGGAAAATAAGCATTGTAAATTTTGGACTTCCCACAGACAAGTCAATGTCTGTCAACACTTTGGTGTTTGAAAGAACATACAGGCTAAACTAAATTAATACCTATGGCTCTTGACAACAAAGTGAGGTCTTACAGCACTTTTTCAGCAGTACAGTTTGGTCCAGTACAGTACGGTGCAGAGTAAACAAACTTTTTTTTTTTAGCTTGTTAAGCCTAATTAATTGTTCAACTAAAGAGTAACAATGTGGATTAGCAAAATAAACATTGAACAATTGGATTTCTCACTCTTTAAAGGGTAACTTAAGCCAAAAATTTGGCTGTGGTATTTGGGGTCGCACAAAGTGCTAGTTAATGACTGTCAACACTTTGGTGGTCAATAGAACATTCATTTTCCATCAGCTTTGTCTTTAGTTCAGATATTGCCACAGCGGAATGAACCGCCAACTGTTCCAGAGTATGTTTTAAACTGCGAATGTCCTTCCAGCTGCAACCCAGTATTGCGAAACACTGATACACACTCATTCACAAAATTTAGTTCAACCAATTCACCTAAAGCGCATTTGGAGGAAACCGGAGCACCCAGAGGAAACCCACGCAAACATGGGGAGAACGTGCAAACTCCACACAAAAATGACAACTGGTCCAGCTAGGACTCGAACCAGTCACCTTCTTATTGTGAGGCGACAGCGTTAACCAGTGAGCCACTGTGCCGCCCTCAAAAGCTAGTCTTTTGGGATGTTGAGAAGTGTCCCTGTTGTCATCCATTGTGACACACTACACTAGATAAAACAATCATCCTGACAACCCATTGTCATTTTACGCATCACCACGACACCCTTTGTCAAACAGATCCTGCCAAAATCAGGATGATATTGTGTAGTTTAAATAATAAATGTAAACTCAGTATGCCATCTTGGATGAAACTGTCATGAAAGTTTTCCACTCTGCCTCTCACTTATGTGAGGGCTGATGTAATACTGAGGTAAAGCCTTCCCGTAGCTCCACCAAAGTCATGTGTTTGAGTCCCGGCGAATACACAAACTGATAAAATGAATACTTTATGTGCAGCGTAATTCACTTCGGATAAAATCGCCTGCTGAATGCAAACGCTCAGTCGAGATTTGGCAAGGTAGAACCATTTTTCTGCTTGCTGCTTTGAACAGCCTTGAACAGATAGGCAGCTCTAGGGTTTGGAATGGAGCCAGACAGTGTTTGGGTGTACATTTGATTATGTTGCCATTCTGATAGGAGGACACAATTTCTTGGTTTTCACTTTGACCATTTCCAGGTAAAGAATATGACTGGAGTAATGCGATCCGCTGTTGATGCAGAGTTTTCAAAAGGACTACTATACGACTTAAAATACAAAACAATAAATACAAAAAAGTAGGGGAAATACCTTATGATGTGCATGGGACAAGCAAAAAGATTGGTTACTTCACAGACAAACACATTCAATAACATAGCTGGCGTTCACGTCTATTGACTTCGTAGTACCTTCAGTATTCGCTTCATGATTTCCTCCTTCCTTTTTCATTTTTCCTTTTTCAGAGTCCAGGAGAAACAAAATCTGAAATGTCATCTCAGAGTCCAAGAATCTTCAAGACAGAGTCTCAAATTGTGTCTTTCTAGAAAACAGTGGGTATTTTCACCTCAGTTCTGTCTTCAATGTTACGCATTACATATTGTGTAAAAAATTCCCTGTACAAAAAAGAAGAAACCAAAAAAAAGAAAAAAGACTTGGAATCCAGCATGTTCAGAAGTTCTCAGAGAGCTCTGTTTCCCTGATCAAACTCACGGAGCTACACAGAACACATAAACTCATGTGGTTGAGGCCATGAAATCCATCCGACCAAAATCTTTTCTCTCTCTGTTTCTCTTTCTATCTCTCTGTAAGTCTGAAATATGGGCTAAGGTAATACTGAGGTAAAGGCCTCAGCTCACTCAACAGAAACAAAAATCACAAACACAAAAGATTTTTGTGTTTTAAATCCATATGTTTTGGTCAAAGCAAAGCATCAGAGCAAGTAGTGTACCGCGAATCTTGTGAAGTGAACCATGGGGCCCCGCCCAAGTGTAGAGATGTCACGCACAAGCATTGGTAATGGAAAAAATATCACCGGTGGAGACAGAGAGTGATGTTTTTTGGGGGGCACTCTCTATAATCTGCTTCTCTTTAATTTCCCATATGCTGAAAGAGTTGTAGTACTCAAATCCAAGACCATATTTTCAAGAGCGTTTCGACCTGGACATAGAAATATGGACTTGCACTCAGATTTGAGAAAGTCTGGTCTAATTTTGGAAGCATGTACTACAACCCCACTATGCATGTTATTTAGAAAACAAGTTTGTGAGGCATAAAAGGGAGAGATGCAATTCCAATGAAAGTTCTAGAGTACAGTAACACTCCAAATCTTTCTTTCTGAGCACTTCATCTGTCCATATCTACCTTCTAAAGGATTTAGACTGATGGCAATTGAGTGTCCTTTATGCCAGTGATCTGAACACTTTGAGCTTTGAGTTTGGTATTGACCGGAATCAGATCTGACTGACCTCTAGATTCTGTTCCAGATCCTCTTCTTGTGACAAGATGATCTACCCAGTGATGCAAATCTATCCGTATGCCAGTAATCAGAGAACTTTGAGTTTTTATGACCAGACTGACCACTGTTTGCTACTGAGTCATTACTCCAACGAATGGTTTGATTTTTGCTCATATTCGGAGATAACAACTGTCCCAATTCCTGAATAAAATGCTGCCTTTCTATCAAACTTAGAGAGTCTAGGTGTGAACAGATTCAAGGATAGATAGTCTTCAAGTGTCTTCCGCTTCTTTCCTCCATCTGATAAGATGTGATAAAGTTTAAAGCAATTGTTTCCACTTGAATTGACTGCTCTTCTTGTAGTCAGAGAGGTTCACGTTGGCTTATCCTCCTGCAAGAAGTTTCAGACAAATGCGGAAAGGATGACAAGCGAGTAAGAAAGGAAAGAAAGACAGAGAGAGACTTTCTGTGGTGGGCCAGGTTGCGCTCCGCAGTTCACATGAGGTTTCATCCGCTCACGTTTCCACAATTAAATGCTCTTTACCTTCTTTTTCCCCTTTGTTCACTGGCCTGTTGGCGTCCGATCGCTTCCACTCTTCCCAAGTAAGTGGCTGAAGTCCGCCAGCTCGATGAGTCCCCGAGAACCGTGGAGCACGGAGCGGGTCAGTCCTGCAGGATGCTGAGAGGCAGGGGTGTAGTGGTGGCCTGTTGGAGGTATGCCATGACTGCTGAAGATGTAGCCCTCATGGGTCCAGCGAAGAGGCTCTCCGCTGTACTCTATCTGGGTGCTGGGGGCTGAAACCACTCTCCGTCGGTCAGGGGAGTCTTGTGGAGTCATGGGGTAGTTATATTCACCGGCTGACTTGCGAAGAAGAGTACCTGGGCGTATTCCCTGATCCCGGTACTTGGAGAGGGAGACATACCTTTGGCGGTCAATACCAGTCTCGATGGCTTCCTCATGGCGTCGGCCGGTTCCTTGTAGGAGTTTAGAGCTGAGATAAAGGGTGGATGGTGGAGGTGGACATTGGGTTCCCACTGAGCTCAGGAAGGTCTGACTTTGATCCCAGCTGGATCCAGAATCAGACAGGCGGAGCCCACGCTTCTGCTGCAGAGGAGTTTGCTCTGGTGTGGGAAGTAGACCTGGGTCTAAATCACCAGCTTTCACCCACCCATTAGGCATGACGAAAAGCGTCTCACCCTGTGATCTTGGCCGGTCTGTGCCACTGTGTCGGGATACGCTCATTACAGAGCCGCTTCTGCTTTGTCCCATCATGCAACGTTCCTTCTCACTCTTCCGCTGAATACTGGACGACGGAGTGTTGCTGTGAGAACGATGACGGTGTTTTTGACCCATGATCCAGCACACTGCTAAACCTGAGAGTGCTGCCCCGGTGGAGAATGCAGAGACTGCAGCAACAACCAGCAGGTTCAAGGTGACAAGGCTTTCGGGCTCATCCATGAAACTCTCACGTAACAGACCTGCAAAAAGAGAGTATTACATATTAGTATTTCCAAATTTGGAACTTATCACTTGTGAGCAAGTTTGGCCAGGATGCTGAGGACACATCCCTACTCTTTAAGAAGGACATTCTGTGATTTTTAATGTCTACAACAGGGGTCACCAACCTTTATGAAACTGAGAACTACTTCTTGGGTACCGATTAATGTGGAGGGCTACCAGTTTAATAAACACTTCTCAAATAACAAATTTGCTCAATTTACTTTTAATTATACTTTATGTTTTTGGTAATAATTAACGATATTCATTCATGTGAAGACACTGATCATGTTAATGATTCTCACAAAAGTTATCAACAATGATTTAACGGTAAGAAATACCCTGTATTTAATGTATAAATGTGCAACACTTTATTTTTATATATCTCTGCAAATATTTACATTTTTAAATGATTACTTCTATATTAGATGAAGCTTACTGGTAAGTGGCGTTATGGTGAGCTATTTTTCGAACAGGCCTGTGGGCAACACATGTGATCTTTGCCCGCGGGCACCATGTTGGTGACCCCTGGTCTACAAAGAGACAGGACGTCATTTTAACGTCTCATCTGAAGGACAGTGCTCACTGACAGTCCCTTATCACTATATAGTGGGGCATTTGGACCCACACAGGCTGCAGTTTGAGCACCCCCTGCTGGTCTTACTAACACCTCTTCTAGCTATAACCAAATTTTTCTAATGTGGGATCCCAGCCAGGTTCTAACCAATCACAATATTGCATATTTCAGTGGGGAATCATGTCAGAGCGGCATAGAGCTAGCTTCTGGCTATACTATGGGGGCTTTTAAATGCTTGATTCGGACTGGACAGGGAACATTTTATAGTGTGCAATTATTTTTAGGGAAACACACGGCTAAAGTAGTTCCAGACAGGTTTTTCACTGCATCACACTTCTATATCACTACTCTGAATAATTTCAGTCACTTCATAGCCTACATGAGTCAAAAATCAAAACAAAATGCTATAGATAAGATGCATAAGAAACTAGTCATATGCACAGAAGTAGTTTGATGACTTGACAAATGTCTTAAAATGCAACATTTGATCAATGTATTTTGTTGCGGTAATTGCAAGTCCACAAAGCATCTGTAGGAATACTAAAAACAAAGTAACATCTACAAATATTGACACATTCAAGCTCTGGGTGACAAACCGTTTAAAAACACTGACATTTGAAGGGTTTACAAAAGCATCAAAGAAGCTCATCGTGACTTATGAAGCACTGTGCAATTGATTTATTGAGTTTGTGTGCATTACAGCCACGACAATCGATTAGAAAACAAGAGACTGTTGACTATAATCTCTCCTAATTCAATAGAGTAGATACAGTGTATGTATTAGTAGACCCAGTAAGGGACTCTTGTTAGAAACCTCAAACATGCAAACACAGCATGTCCATAAAAAACCTGCGCAATTCAACTCTATAATGAAGCATAAGTACATATGAGAAGCATTACAAATATTGATCTAAAGAGTTAGACAAAATCTAAACAGATCGTTGGGCAAATTCAATAGACAGCACTTCTTGGACTTGACGACTCATGCTTTTCTAATAGTTCCTCTCGGGTTTGGCGTTTGTATAACACTGGCCTTTCTCTTTCTCTTTTAACAGCATTCCTCGTCTTCTTTCTTCTGCTGTTCCCTGTGAGATGTCCTTGGTTTTAACCTCTATTTTCGCAGTCTGCTTCTCTTCCTCTATTATCTCCTTTCTTGGCTTTCTTCTCGCTGACTATCTCTCCTCTAGCTTTGCCGTTTATGTGTGTGGGCTGTTAACCGACTCAGAAATGAGAAGCTGTCAGACTCTACTGTACGTCTACCTCAGTATTCAAACCAGCAAATGTGTTGACAGTAAGAGAATTTTTTTAAGAATCGTTCACCCATATAGGAAAATTCTGTCATCTTTTACTTTGCCAAGTGTCAGTGCAGAAGATTTTCTTTCTACTGTAGGCCACAGAAGGAGATGCTCAGGATGCTGTTTGTGTAAAATGTTGATGGTTTGGTGGCATTTGGTGGTTATAAATGAACATATTTAATGTGCAATCAAAGAATACTATGATATGTCAGCCTGATCTCATGAGGAAATGTAACTATTTTACATATTGTAAGTTTAGTAGTTAATTTGTAAGAATTCGTATAAGTTCAGTCGCGAAAAAATGTATAAATTTAAAAAGGAGGCGTGGCACCCAACCCCACCCCAAAACCCAACCGCCATTGGGGGATGAGCAAACCGTACTAAACTGTACACACGAAGTTGCACATATTTACAAGGACACAAATATTTTACGTTTTGTCAATTTAGTGGCTATTTCATCTGAATTCGTATCAGTTCAGTCATATGAAAATTCATAATTTTCAAAAGGAGACATGGCAACAAACCCCATCCCTAAACACAACCGTCAATAGGGGATGAGCAAATTGTACACGAAATCATACACATTCAAGAGAAAAAGTAACTATTTTACGTTTTGTCGGTTTTTGGCTATTTTGTATGAGTTCGTAAGAGTTCAGTTAAACAAAAATTCACGATTTTTAAAAAGAGGCGGGGCACCAAACACCACCTCTAAACACAACCGTCAGTGGGGGATGAGCAACATTTACTAAATTGTATGCATGCCATCGTAAGAATTCATGAGAATCCTTAATTATTTTACCTTTTGTCAGTTTGGTTAAGTTGTACAAAAATTCACGATTTTTAAAAGGGGGCATGACCCCACACCACCTCTAAGCACAACTGTCAATGGGGGATGAGCTAATTGTACTGAACTAATTCACAAAAAAAAAAAGGAAAAAAAAAACTATTTTACCTTTTGTGAGTTTAGTGACTATTTTGTACAAATTTGTATGAGATCAGTTGTACAAAAAATCATCATTTTTAAAAGGAAGCATGGCACTAAACACCACCCCTAAACACAACTGTCAATGAGGGATGAGCAAATTGTACCAAATTGTATGCATGAGATTGTATAAATTTACGAAAAAATTTAACTATTTTTATGTTTTTTCTGTTCAGCTGTACAAAAATTTACGATTTCAAAAAAAGAGGCATGGCACTTAACACAGCCCCTAAACACAACCATCATTAGGGAATGAGGAAACCATATTAAATTGTCGCATGAGACTGTATGTATTAACATGGAAACAACTATTTTACGTTTTGTAGGTTAAGTGACTATTTCGTATGAATTTGTATGACTTCAGTTGTACAAAAACATATGTTTTTTTTAAGAGGCGGGGCACCAAACTCCACCCCTAAATATAACCGTCAATGGGGGATGAGCAAATTGTACTAAATTGTATGCATGAGATTGTACTAATAAACGAGAATACTTAATTTATTAAAATTTTTGTCAGTTTAGTTCAGTTGTACAAAAATTTTCAATTTTTTAAAGGAGGCATGACCCCACACCACTCCTAAGCACATCCATAAATGGGGCATGAGCAAATTATAATAAATTGTAGACACGTTCGAACTAATTTACACACACACAAAAAAAACTATTTTATGTCTTGTGAGTTTAGTGGCTATTTTGTACGAATACGTAGTTCAGTCGTACAAAAATGTAAAATTTTTAAAAAGAGGCGTGGCACAAAACCCCACCCCTAAACACAATCGTCAATAGGGGATGACTAAACAGTACGCATGAGATCGTACGAATTCACAAGAAAACTTAACTAATTTGTATGAGTTCAGTCGTTTGAAAATGTATGAATTTTAAAAGAAGGCGTGGCCCAACTCAACCGTGATTGGGGGATGAACAAATCATACTAAATTGTACACATGAGATCATTCAAAATGATACAATTTAGCCACTAAGTCAAAAAGTTACGAATTGCTGTGAGATCGTGTTGGATATTCCCATAATAGTTGTATCTAAAAGATAATATTACCACAAACATATAGGAAAACATACACAACCCCACTTTTCTGCTTTCTTATTCCTGCATTCTCTCTCAGTCATTTTCTTTGTGTTTTCTGCCATTAAAGTGGTTGTAGTCTCAGCTGGGAATCTCAGCTCTTTTATTGCATTTGTTCATTGTAACAGCAGGAGTCGGCTGCACACATCACACTCAACAACTCAAGCCTTTTCTTAATATTGCTTTTCCTTTGAACAAACCTAAAAACTAAAATACTGCTATGAAATTGCTTGTAATGTGTGTGTCCTCAAGGGTGTAGCAATCATTTCAAAGAGAGAGAGAGCAAGAGAGAGGAAGAAATATTCTGATCATTAAACGTTTTTCTTGGTCTTTGTATTTGTAGCATATTTTAATTGTCAGTCTTAATGTGGGCCAAATTGGTATATATGTCTTGTTGATAATTGCACACACTTTAATAAATAAATATTACACTACATACATCACATACACATGCATGTTGATGTTTTAAATGCAAATGCTTATTATTATTATAAAGAGATCTGCAAAAAAATCACTTCTTTTTCTCTTCTTTTTTCGGCATTGAGTATCTAACCCATGTCAGGCTGAATATGACTGAACAGATCTAGACAAGTGGACAGCTGACCAGCAGACTGGAGCTGTTTCTGCAGCACTGCTGAGTTTAAAAGAGCTCATGACAGGCTGATTCACATCTCAAAACTGACTTACACTGGATCCAGACGATGGCCATTTTTTAGCTGCATCTCTCCGGGCTGATGTTTCAGTTGTATTATGGATGCGCCCAAATTTCTCTCTATCTATTCAATTAGCTCCCATTTGCCTCTTGATGTTGGGGTTAATTTTATTCTCAATGTTAATTGTGTTCCTTCATTCCCACTGTCTGTATATGCATCCCTTTGCCTCCAGCTTTATGCTGAATATTAATTCAAAGTAAGTAAACAAACTCTTACTGCTGCAAGGAACACCATATCCAGGATGTTTATGCTGGTCTAGTGCTGTTTGTTGGTCTGGATGACCTTCATTAATTATTAAAAATATAACTTAAATCAATCTATTTATTTATTTAT